CCCGCCGGCAGGGCCCCAGGGCGGAGGAGCAGAGCCCCCGCGGCCTCTCAGACACCCGAAGGGGCGGAACCGAACGGGGAGGCCCTAACGCGCCCCGCTGAGCCATCAGCCCGCCCGACTCGGGAACCATCGGAACCCACGCAGAGACCCAGACAATCACTCCCGCCAGTCCTGGTGAGGCCCAACTCTCCCACACGCAAAGGTAATAGTAGGCTGAGGGCGTACTACTCAGCGGTGGCTTCGCTGGTTGCTCCCAGCACCCATAATTCACAGCAAAACAAAAAGTAGCCCTCCTTTGATAGGGGGAGAAAGGGCCCTTTGTGTACTGAAGGCACCGAAGTCCAACTCCCGCACAGGCAACACTCGCTGGACCTGTCCTGTTCCTGGTACTTTCCGGAGATAAGATTGATGAGCACCTGGATAAAGACGCTTTAAAAGCTAAAGAAAAGAAAAGGCGACCCCATCTTTCTAACCTGCGTGTGGGAAGCAAGATGAATTCACTTCATTTCCACCCATTCTAATGAAGGGATTTATGACCTTTTTAAGCAGTTAGAACATTAGTTGGAATTTGAATGAAGTAACTGGTATTAAAGCCATTACATACCCAATTAAGTCCCTTAAGAATTTAAGTATGTCGTAGGCTGCTAGCTTAGTCACTATAAAAGGTCAGTAAGTAAAAGGGCTGGGAATATAAAGACAGCGACTTAAAAAGTTGTGCTATGCTTTTAGCTCATCGTAACTATACATCTCACTTGCAGTTCACATCAAATGAAAGATAGTAATAAAGTGAATCATAACCTTTAATCTGAAATCAAGGACATTTAAATATTTTGAACAGAGATCAGGATCTTGATTCTCTATGAACTCAATCTAAATACTAATAAACTACTGGCATCAGGGATTTATTTAACCTCATTATTTTGTCATACCTATATTGAAATCTGAAGACATTTTGTGAGGGGCCTGAACACCTGTCTAGTTAACTTGGAGGCATCCAAGGCTTTTTTTTTTTGTATCCTAGATCCAATCCAGAAGGAAGTCCTGTCATCTCTACCTCCACTCTGGCCCAACTCACCATTAATTCTGCAATACCTTCCTATCTGGCCTTCCTGTTTTTATTCTTGCCTCCCATGCCTCCCAATAAGTAGTACAGTAGTCCTAACAGCTGTTATTCTTGGGAAATCTTCAATGGCTCTTGATTTCTTAGGATTTTTATCTCCTACCTCATCCAACTCAACCAATAGTAACTTCTTGTTTTTGAATATTTCAAGTTCACTTCTGGACCATATTACCCTCCACCGAGAATTATTTTCCCACACATACTTATATGACCTACTCCATCAATTTCTTCAGGTCTTTGCTCAAGTTCACTTTGCGGTGATTTCACCTATTAAAATTAGGCCCCTTCTCCCCAACACTTTCCCTTTCCTATTTTCCTACATTTCATTACACCATCAGCTATACTTGCTTAACTAACACTCTATATAAAACCCTGTCTCCTAATATGTGCTCCATTGCACATTGTGGGCTTTGTTTTGCTCAAAGATTAGGCAGACTAATCACTGGCAAATGGTTAGTACTCAATACTTTGTGAGTGATTAATGATGCAATGAAAAGATAAGCATCTTCGTCAATGTTAAAAGCATTCACTTTAGGTAATCATACCTTTCTATAATGCCATCCAATGACTACACTTTGTCTTTCTAGCTGAATTAATTTCAAATTATGAAATAATTTTAAGTGATTTTTAGTTGCTTAACAGTAGAAATACAATAAATGACAATTACCAATTAACACATTAAACAAGCCAAATTATTTTTTAAGGGTCAGGATGAAATGTACCTTTCCTGTCATATGAAATCTTTCACTTACTCTCAACACCAGAAAAGCTGCTTACTGGAGCATCAGTGTGATCATGATTTTGTGTGGCAACACTCACAAGATGTGTTTATACTCTTTTCTGTACATGTTAGCCATACACAATGTCCTTTCTGTTCCTTGCCAATGAACAAGCCCTCCAGATATCGAAGGGCTGGCTCTGTGACTACCTTCTAAACTCTTGCCTGACCACTTTAACATACAAATTAAAAGTACAATGTGGTCATTTTTAAAAAATACTTCTCAAGCAATATTCTTTTTAAAAAAATTCAAGCAGGGCAAATAACATGAAGCATATACACAAAAACAGTATGACAAGCCCTTCTTAGTTTTCTAATTATGTAATATTTTTTATTATATACAATGGAGCCAACATTTAAACATTAAATATGTAAAAGCAAATGTAGGAAAAAAGACAACTTAGTGAGTAATGAAGATACTTTCATGTGAAATAAAAACTCTAAAGGGTTAAGGAAGACTATTCCTGAGTGGACCTTTAACATTGTGTTTTAAAGATTTATATATACAAATATATATATAAAAAGGATTTGTTAAAAATAAGTTTAACTCTGCAAATATTTTGACATCATTCCTTTTAAACAGTAGATAATACAAATCACATAAAAGTTTAAACCGGTAAAAGGGATGAAAAAGCTTCTCTTTAAAGAAATTAGAGGTTTTATTTTAGTTTTTAATTTTAGCAACGTGCTACTCTTAAGGAACCACTGCTGATATAATATTTAATATTTTCATTATCAGATTCTATTACTCTTTTCCAAAATATCAATGGTTGTATTTTACTGCAACATAAGTAGAATTTACAGGAAAAAATGAGTTAAGATAGCTTTATTTATATTTATTGTCACTCCTTAAAAAATAAACCAGAAGCATCTCTACAATGCAAATAAAACAAAGAACTAACATTACTTGGGCAACAAACAGTTGTCAAGCACTTTTATATCTTTTTTAAGTTCTTTTAACCTAAATACATGAATTCAAAGTTAACTGGAAACTTATACTAGAATACATGATTCATATCATTAACATGTATTCTACTTCTCTTTACATTTTTGCTAAGCAACACCAAAATACAAGTAAACATCAGATTTTTAACATATAAAAGCAAAAAAAAGCATTTTTCATATATTTTATACTAGATTTCTGTTCTTCTTTAGAAAACAAACTCAATAATTCGTTATCCTGAGTCTCTCAAGGCCACTTGATGTTGTGTGGTAGTATCTTTATTTACATTTCCTCAAGACTTCTTCTAATAGCTTCTTCTAATTCAACATCTGCATTAGAAAACAGAGAATTTTAATATTCAGGGCAGAAAATAAACATGCTTTATGTAAGACTCATCAACTTCATCTGCTTCTTTAATAAGGTAAGTAAAATTTAGGATAACTTGGCAGCTTCTCCATCATAAAATATGAATATTTTGAAATATGAGAGTCTGGATATAACCTCAACGGAGTTTTAATATATATGAACTCAATGTGCTAAGGAACTCACAAGTTTCTGTATCCTGCTTACAGATATAGAAAGTAAACAAACTTTCTGAATTGCTGACAGGTAGTCACTAAATTAAACATCAAACAAATCTATGCAAATTACTTCAAAAATCAAATACATCTATGCAAATTACTTCAAAAAGACGAAATAATGCATGTAACACTTTGAAAGAACTAGGAAATCGCAAACTCTCATAGACTATTATCTAAAGTTTTCTAGTATCCAAGGCTAAGAGTGAAACTAGTGGTTACATAGTATCATCTGAGAAGCATATATTATAAACATGTAAGTATTCATTTAGCAAATATTCATTTAGCAAATAATACCCACTGTGTACCAGACATATGAATGTAACAGTGAACAAGACAGACATTCTTGGTTTCACAGGTCATTCTTCATTTCTCCCTGAAAATGCTGCTAAGTCTCGGAGGGTGGAATTAGGTATCAATATCTTAGTCTTTACTAGCTTCTCACATAAGGTCCCATTAGTTCATAGTTTCTCAGAGCCTACTTGGTTCAAGGGCACCAGCAGTCCTTCTAAGATGCAACTGTACCTTCCTTTGAGCTGGGGAACTGGTGTTATGCTGTCTGTAATTTAAAACACTATAAGCTAGTACACAGTTAATTTAAATCCAGATTCTAGGCAGTGAGTTGTCCTCAGGTGAATTCAGAGATGAGAAAATGCAAAGATACTCCTCGCAATGAAGAATAAGGTCAGAGACTTACAAAAACTTAGCCTTTAAGCTGTAGTAATTAAGTATTGACACAAGAATAGATGCTAAACCAAACCATTTCCATGGAATTAGTCATGGGTGGCAAATAAAGGTCACACCATCTTACTACTTAGATGCCCAATGGTGTTGTCTGTTAGTGTCCTTGATAAAAAGTAATTTTGCTGACAGTTGTGTTTAAAACTCACAAAAATTCTTTCATTTGTTTAGCTCATCATTATGTGCCTGCTAAGCTATGAATTTGATCTTTAAAAAAGACCATGTTCACAAAGCAAACTGTTCAAAAACTTGCTTCCAATTAGTCTTTAGATTCACTACTAACTTTGTGTAACCAATGAATTTTGGATATGAAAGAGACGTGTTAAGAGTTTTCTACTTTAGGCCCTCCCTGGTGGCGCAGTGGGTTAAAGCACTGCACTGAGAAGCTAAAGCCACTACGGCATGAGTTTGATCCCCGCCTGCCCTGGAGGAGAACGCATGGCGTGGCAGACCTCTCCTGGCCTGCCCAATGCTCCCCTCAGCAGTGTACTTCACCCATCTGCCTGCCTGCTCCCCACTCTGTCTCTGGTGAAGCCTCTCACCGCCCCTGAGCCTCTGACCTTTACCCCAGTTCTGTATGAATAAATAAACAAATCTTTAAAAAAAAAAAAAAGTTTTCTACTTTATTGAAAGTTTTTGTCGATTCCATCGTCAGACCCAAATTCTCAAACTCCTACTAGCATAAAGCTTTATTATTGTCTAGTTAAAATTACTGAGAGCAAGCACACACAAAGAGAACAAACTGGCTGGGTTATTCTGTTTGTGCTTGTTTAGCCACATTTCCCTGTCTATGTTCTACATTCTCACTCTCAAATCTGCAACAAATACTATATCTGAATGTACTTTAAACCTCTTACTGTTGTCCTTGAATGTCAAAGATACCAATATAATTGCTTTTCAATTTCTTCAGTGAAGTTTTAAGTATTTTTTAAAATCCCTTGTTTTCCTTTTTTCCATGTGGTTACTAAAAATCAGTTTGTTATGAGAAAAAATAAGTGTATGACATAATCAAACAGCAGTACAACCAGTAAATGATTATATGTGAATAAAAAAAGTTCTCACTAACATATGGAAGGAAAGAGCTTTTCCTTTAAGAGGAAAATTACATATATATAACACACATACTTTACATAGTTATATCTGGTTATATATTTACATATGTAATTTTTAATATTTTAATAATTTTTTAAAATTTAATAATACTCAAAATAAATAAAAATCAGGAAATCTTCTGCAAAGGAATTAGCAAACTTTTTTCTGTGAAGCATAAGAAAATAAGTCTTTTAGGCTTGGAGATGGGCGGGGTTCTATACTGTTGTCATGACCACTCATCTTTATTGCTGCAATATGAAAACACTTTAGTTAAAGAATGTAGCTATGTTCCAATAAAACTTTTGTTATAAAGCCACATGGTAAACTGGATTTGGTACAAGGTTCATAACTGGCTGATCGTGTTCTAGTACCCTAAACTAATACTACCCCCAAGTCAAAATTATTAGTTAAAAAAGGAAAGAATTTTTTTAAAACTCAGGGGTAAGGAGGAGTTTGGGATGAAGGGTAAAAAGAGGAGAAATAAAACAAATTACATACATATACAGTCAAATATGGAAAAATTGAACAACATTAGGTTACCTTCTGTAGATCTGAATTCTTCTACTGAAGTACTCTTTATACCCAGGTTGTCATCACTGTCACCTTCTGTAAGATAGAATCAGTAAATGAAGATATATTTCTTTAAAAGTGTCATTATTTATGTATTCTCAAACAATATTACTCTGATTTTCCCATACCCAAGCTTAATATAGTCATTAATATCACACCATTTTTCTAACAGCTTTTTACAATGCTTATCAAATATACTGAAATCAGTATAAAAAATTGAGGAATTATAAAATTTAACATTAAAAATGATTAAATGTTAGTGTTTTATTTAGATCTAGTAAATACACCTTTCCTGCTCCCCACTTTGTCTCTGGTGAATTCTCTCACCCCCAAAACTCTGGCCTGTACCCCAGTCTTTGTATGCATAAGTAAATAAATCTTGCCACACCATGTGGGTCACCTCCCTGGCTGGGGATCGAACTTGTACTGCAGTGGCTGCCGTAGCTTCATAATGCTGTGCTTTAACCCACCAGGGAGAGCCCTTAAAAAAAAAAAACTGTAACAGATAAAATTCTGTATTTGGAAAATTATATACATTCTCCTTTATAAAAACATTAGATTTTTAACTAGTGCCTCTGGATTGCAAAACTCTTATCTGCTACCTTGCATTGCTTTCATAAGAGATCTAAAGATCTATAAAAATGACATACTAATTAGATATTGCAAAAGTCACTTAAAACTTGAACCATGGCACTACCAATATTTAGCTTATCATTTTCAGTACATATAAATATATATATACATATATATACCCACATATATCTGGAATCCATTTTAAAGACTGAAAACAAGTCAAATGGGCACATTTGTTCTATGAAGTACATAAAAAATTTATAAATTTAAAACTGAAGATTTGAGGTCTCCCTGGTGGCACTAGGGATTAAAGCACAGCACTGTGAAGCTATCTACAGCCACTGCAGCACAAGTTCAATCTCCAGTCCTGGAGCTGACTCACATGGCACAGCAGACCTATCCTGTCTCTCCAGCTGCTCCCTTCAGCAGTGTATTTTGGTTACTCTGCTTGTTCTGCTCCCCACTCTGTCTCTGGTAAATCCTCTCAAGCCCCCACCCCACACTTCTGGTCTGTACCCCAGTTCTTGCATACATAAATGAATAAATCTCTAAAAATATATAAATAAATAAAATAGAAGATCTGTAATCATTTATAAACAAAAGCCACTATATTTGCCTTATATTCCTTTGCTGCAAAAAGTTGTCATTATAAGTCATCTTTTGCTATTTCAGAAAAATTCTATTGCCTTCTCTAGTCTGTTCTATACTTTAAGCAATGTTTTTACAATTTGGAGAACAAAATTAATTCTAAAAAAAGAAACAGAAATAAAAAGAAAACACTCAATTAATCTGTTACTACAATTCAAAGTCAAGTTCCGTCAAAACCAATGTGTCTTAATGTTTTCACCACTGCATACAAGGTCTAAGATGAAAGTATAGGTTTGAATCACAAGGTTTAACTAGACAGTTACTAATTTTTTTTTTTTTAGTTTTCTTGAGTTTTCTTTATTTCAGTCAGCCACATCTACAGAACAGAGAAATTGACTATTCTTTCCTATATTCAGTATCTTACCTAGAACTGTACCATGCAGATTTTAAGGAGGGTGTCCAAAACAATGACCAAAAGTCTCATTAACAGGTGAGGGAATAACAGGCCGACTTGTAGAATTAAGTTCAATTACTATTTTATATAATGCCTCTTTGATAGAGTAGGATGATGCTTCAATATTATACACTTTTATAAAGTTTTTTATGTTCATTTTAAAAAGTTTTTAAAAAGTCTGTAACTGGTATGACTATACACACCAATCACATTTCATACAGCTACCTTATTTATCCTAAAATGAAGACAAAAAAGTAGATAAACAGAAAAGTCAAAGGAGAATGTTCAGATTCAACAACAACAAAAAATCTTGAAACAGTGAAATCTGTCTTCAATTTAAGTTCCCTATTCATAACAGCCTATGCTCAAATGCACCCTTGCACAGGACCTAAGGTAAAATATTAAGACAACACTTTACATAAAACCAAAAGGAAGGGGTTTAATTTTTCTAAGGAAGCTGTTTTACTTTCTTAGGAATTCTAAACAACTGAACATACAAAACTTTTGTATATAAAATTTTTTATAAATATTTAAGTAAAAACTGAAAAACCTGTTTAAAAAGTTTAAAAAGAAATTCTATATAAATCAACTGAGTGTTCTGCAACTGTGATATAAAATATGGTCAAGTCATATTATAAAGCAGTCTCTAGCAGTCCACAAAACTTTACAGAAATAATCATCATCAATGAAATAATGGCAACAGCAACTCAGAAATTCAGTCATCAAAAAGCGTAGTTAAGATGAGTGCAAATAATCCAACAATTTGAAAACAAAAGTCCTTAAAACATATGGCCGGTGTTGTAACAAGTGGTGCAGATACTTTATCATATGGAGATTATACTACATAAAGGAGAACAGAAACATTAACACAGGGTAAATGAAAACGAATCTGACATTGTTCATCACACTAAGACTGCATTTCTATAGCCACAAGAAAATGAGCTCATTTGTTTAATTATGAGACAAAAGATACTAGGGAACTTATACTTTCCTTGTGTTTACCATAATCAGTTTACCATTTTTAAGAATCAGAAGCTATAATCAAATATTTTCATCTTTTCAATCCTTCAAAAAAAAATGCATCTTCCTGAATGTTTTCTTCAGGACAACATTAGGTATCTTTACAAAAACTCTTCAATGCCATTAGATTGAAGACTGTCTCTCATTATTTTCATTCTTCGAGGATATGATCAGATCCAATAATCTGCACTGAAGTCTCTGCATCTGAAAACCAACTATTTGTGTAAGAGAAAACTTCAGCATTGGCAGCTTCAGAAAATCATGTTCTGAGTGACCACAAGTAGCTATTAAATACAATCATCTATAAAATGGAGCAATCTAAACCTCATAGTATTGTGAAGGGGATTAAAGAACAGGTTAAAGGAATTCTTTAAACATCTTCAACCACTATAAACTTAAAAAGCAACTAGCATGACTAGTACATAATAGGCTCTTAATAAGTTCTCTTATATTTAAGTGCAAAGTTACTGTCTTTATCTTTGAAACATGAAACTGAATTAGAATGAACATGTATTTGTTAATATAAAAAGTCTAAAGAGAAAATCTACCAGGTTCCTCTGATTAGGTTTACAAGAAAGGATCCATGTATTTTGTTAAGTTTATTTAAAGATGAGGATGAGTCCAACATAAAGCAGAATTGATTAAGAACAAGGGGGCCAATGATGTTAATCAGACAGATTAATAGTTTTAAGTATCTCTACAAAGTTTCATACATATAATGTGGCTATAATAAAACATTAGTGATAGAACCCTGATGCTTAGAAGTTGGTAGAACTTATAGGGAAAAACCATGACATACTCAAATCTCAAATGTAGTCTGTAACTGCTCACTTAGCTACAAAGAAAAACTGACTTGTGCCTCCCTGGTGATGCAGGGGGTAAAGACACAGCACTATCAAGCTATTGCCAGCCACTGTGGCATGAGTTTGATCCTTGGCCAGCCAGGAAGCTGAGTCCACATGGCTCAACAGACCTCTCCTATCTCACCTGCTGCTACCCTAAGCAATGTATTTCAGTAGGCTGCCTGTTCTGCTCCCCACTCTGTCTCTAGTGAATCCTCTCACTCCCTGTATCTCTGACCTATATCCGTTTTTGTATAAATAAATAAATCTTTTTTTTTTTTTTAAAAAAAGAGTAGCTGATGTATCCTAACCAATGAAAGAACTAAGAGTAACAGTAGGTAAGGTACTTACCTGTGCCCTCCCTACCAAGCAAAACTGTAATATCTTATGGCCAAATGACTGGGCATCTATAGCTGGAACTAGCAATTCCAAATGTTTCTACTTGTTTTGAGGAAAGTACCTCTAATTAACTGAAAAACTGGATGTGACTAGTATTAATTACCATATGACCCCCAATCTTCATGACAATATTCAACAGACTCCTCCTGTTTATATAAGAAGTTTCAGTTTAGAAAAATAATTTTCTGCTCTAATAAAATTTCCAAAATGTTAGAAACAAGCAGTTCAAACTAATGTTTTGTCTATGCATTGGTGACCTTCAAAACTTGGGAAATCAACCTGATTGCAAAGTAATGGTAATAAGTGAGAGAATGTCTCACTGTATGTTACAGTATGAATGTTTCTCATATCCTAAAGATAGGAGTGTTTTGTGGGTTGGTTGGTTGGTAATTTGGATTCTTGAGACCATAGATTCCCTAAATTATATGTGATATTACATATGGCATACATGTTCATTTTTCAGGGAAAGAGGTTTAAGAGACTTTCATCAGAGCCTCAAGAAGTTCCACTGATTCCCATCCTAAAACCATATTCCCTTAAGAAACTTGTCCCACAATTTGAAGATAGGAACATTGTGCCAAGCTAGATGGATGAATTACCATGGTATCCCTGTGGTAACCTAAGTCACCCTAAAGACCTACCAAGAACTATAGTATTTGTGGATACTGAGAGATTTTTAAGTCCTAATACATATTAAATTTCATAATAGTAATTACCACTTCACTATTTACAAAATTATTTTTTATGAAAGGTGATGTAGATACAGTTTGAAATAAAGTTATCCACCCCCCCCCCAAAAAAAATGACTGCTTTATGATCTTATTCTCCAGTTCACTACCAGGCAATTTGATGCCTTTAAGTCTTCTATAAAGAAAAAGAAAATCTTAACTCAAATTAAATCTGTATATACTGTGATTTAGTTTAATTCTCCTTAAGTTACAAAAGCATTTTAAAATCTAGGTCTAAGTGAAATATGACTTAACAATTATATATTTCTTTTGCTACTTGATTTTAATAATTTTCATCAACCTTAAACTATAGTAACTATAGCATAAAAAAGATGCTCGACTTCACTAAGAAAATGTACCTCAAAATAACGATAACACTTCACATACATTAGGCTAGGTACTATTCAAAACAACCAACCAGGCAAACAAAATAAATACAGAAAATAACAAGTGTGGCAAAGATATGGAGAAATGACCTTGTGTACAGTTGAAATGTAAAATGGCACATTTCCTGTGGAAAACAATATGATGGTTTCTCAAAAATTAAAAATAGCATTACTGTATGATCCAGAAATTCTGCTTCTGAAAACTTACTCAAAGGAACTTAAAGCAGGGTCTCAGAGAAATATTTGCACTCCCAATTTTATGACAGCATTAGTCACAACAGTTAAAACAAGAATGATAGCCAAGTGTACACTGACAGAAAAATGGGCAAGCAAAACAGAACACATACATACAATAGAGTATTATTCAGGCTTACAAAGGAAGGAAATTCTGATATAGGGTAGAACATGGATAAAACCTAAGAACAGTGTTATATGACAGGACAGTCACAAAAACAAATACTATATTATTTCATTTATATAGAGTATTTAAGAATAGTCAAAATCAGGGCAAAAAGGTAGAATGGTGTTCGTTGGGGGTGTGAAAATAGGGAATTATTATTTCTTTAATGAGTATAGTGTTTCAGGTTTGCAAAATGAAAAAAAGCTTTGAGAATGGACAGTGGTTTGGCTGCAGTGTGAATCCAGTTAATGCCATCGAACAGTACACTTCAGAATACTTAAGATGATAATCATTCTAACTCCTAGTTTGTATTAAATTTCATAACAGCAATTACTACTTTACTATTTACAGTGCTTTATATGCTATACTAGATACTTTATACTTACCACTAATTCTTACAATCTTAGTTGAAGTCAAACAGAATAACTTGAGTAACTTGCTTGAAATTGCACAGCTGGGAAGCCACAAAATTAAGCAACTGAACCAAAGCCCATGCCCTTCTTTATGCACATCTGCATTTCACAAAAATTCAGAATAAAGTACATATGTACCCCCTTATAGCAGTAAGTTCAAAAGAGCACTGATTGTGAATGAATAACTAAAAAGAATACCTAAAGCCGAAGAGGCATTCAGTGGGGGAACAATCATCATGTAATAACCTATATCTTATCTATACAACCCAAATATATTCATGTAAATATACTCATATACAGCTCTCATTCCAAATAAAGCTGAAAAATAAAAATAAAAAGCAAACCCATAATGGGTTTCACATTTATGTGACATATAAGTTGTTCCCTAAAGCCAGCAGTAAAAAAGATAAGGGGATTGGCTGAGGATGGCAAGGTAAAAATAAATATTTTAAAGATATTAAATAGAAATTGTTTAGGGTTAGGAAAGGAAGGAATGGCACAGGTGAAGATTTTTTTGTAAATGAAGCTAATGATTGTAAAAAAAAAAGTAGATAAAAACAAATATTAGAAAACAAAGATAAAAGTCAGTTCTAAGAAATGATATGTATAAGAAAAACAGTTGATTTCCTTTAAAAAACATACTTGGCATAGTAGAGTAATGATTCCTAACTTTGTAGAAGTGAATGGACTCACTGTAATGAATGATAAAATTCTTCAGAATAGGTTTTTACTCAAAATGAAGCTCTATATATGTTGAAAGAAAAGGGGTAAACTGAGTTGAAAATTTAAAGGCGTGTACAACAATGCTAAAGAGTAGAAAGTTTTCTGCTGAGGTCAAAAATGCCTTTCAATTCTCATTTATGACTGCCAATTATCAGGATATTTAAAATTTATTACAGAAATTACAGGGGGAAAAACCTTCTGAACTTCTAGAATTAAATCTTTTTAAAATAATGGTTGGTAAAATTGCACATCAACTTGCCCTTTCATATAGCAGCCCCAGAAAGGTTAACAAAGAGAGCAAAAAGTCCCTGGAACTAACAGGAGGTACCTACACCTCCCCAAAAAACTAAAGCTCTTTTAGGGCTTCATTTTGTCACTGTCAACATCTTAAATATTTTTTTGGTTTAGTTTTGTTTTTGGTATTGCTTTATTATTATGCACTGATTTTTGGTTTCACCTATAAGCACACTGCTTTCTGAAAAGTTTAATAAGAAGTTTCAGAAACAATGTGAGGATCTGGATTTTGAATCTTGCAAAATTGAAGTAGTATATTTCAAATCATGAGTATATATTTTGTAACATGAACACAGACTCTTAGTATATCCAAAGAGGCTCCAAGTCCAAGAAAGCTCCAAAAAATTAAGAATTCATACTTTTTCTAAAACATCAAACAATGAAAATGAGATAAAGGAAAAAGAAAGAAGATCGAAGTATAAAGGCACGATAGTTTAGCGCACAGGCAACATTGTTCACTAACTGACAGCAGTTTATTGTTTTCTCTCAGCAGTGAAATCTTCTCCTCTTGGGCGGTGTGCACTGTAACTGCAGTTGCGTACCTTTGGTGGTATCAGATATGCTATTTAACAAGGCACACATCATATCTCCCTCTAGGTGGTGAGGGTTTAGTATATGTGCTGGCCTCTGAGTCTTCTTAAACTGATTTTCTAGCTCCAGAAATCCTTGATCTCCTGAGAGGATGGTGAAAGGAATTTGCTTGGGTAGTTGTTCATCTAGACGGCCAGCCTAAGTAGGAATAAATGGTATATATATTGATGAAAATCAATATTTGATTTTAAAATCAAGTTGTATCATTTCAGATGAACAAGTATGCCTTGAAAGGTGTATTTAGCTTGTTACTTAGTTCCCACCAACTATGACATTAAAACATCCCCTTTATAAGTGAAATATACCAAATTTTCTCAACTATAAAGTGTTACCAATTAAAAGGTAAACTACTTTACATGTCATTAAGAAAGGAAAAAAACACAAAAGGAGTACAACAGGAACCCCCACATAAATAAATCTGGAATACAAAACAACTACATATTTAATATAGAAATAAATCTTACCACAGAGAAAAAGCAAGCAAGGTAATTAGCATGGCTTAACCTGAGCACTAAGTAGATGAAGAAAAGAAGGCCTTGTAGTTTAAAACAAGCAGCAGTCATCAAATCTACAGGGTAATTCATGTTATCAGTGTGATACATTAGCTCTTAAGCAAGTAATTTAATTATTTAATTTAAGCTGAATCTTGGATTGGTAATTTTCCTAAGACTCCTGTCACCCCTGCTGCTTTCCTCAGCAGTGTGTTTCAGTCAGTCTGCCTGTTCTGTTTCTCACTCTCCCTGGTGAATCCTCTTACCCCTTGCACCTCTGGCCTATACCCCAGCTCTGGATACTTAAATAAATATATCTTAAAAGTAATGTTAAAGTGTCTCAGCATACAACAAGTACAAGTACAATGTTCCCTCTTGATTATTTTACTAATAATTGAGGGTATACTACGTATAGCTGAGAGTCTGCAAGGAATTAAAGATATAGCACTGAGTAAGTATGCTATGGGAAACTACCCTCAAAACAGTCAAAAGTAGAACCTGATACAGAAGGTTTCATTCAAAAATATAGCATCAAAGAAATGATCTACAATGTGAAGACATTCAAGTGGCTAAAAGATCCCAGTGGGTCCTACTTTCTTATCTTGAACAAAACAATGACTCACATGCATACATATGGCAAAATCAGCAGCATCTTTTCTTTTACTACAGCGGGGATGAAGGAAGAAGCATCCAATCCTATTCAGATAATTATAGATCTTACAGTTGTGTGGAGGTTTCCAATTGGTATTTCCTCCTATTATTTTTAGAAAAGGTATAAATAGTCAAGCAGAAAAGAAATAAAACAAAATATTAGATAACTAAAAATTCTATCAAGTAAAAACACTTAATAGAAAAAAAATTCTAGAATTAAAGTACTAGATCAGGAAGCAGAAGAACAAAGTTCTAGTACAGTATTGCCATCTTGTTATTTTACAATCTTGGAAAGGTAACTGACTTCCTTAAATTTGCATATCTACAAATTCAAAAGGCTGTCATAGAAATTAAAAGGAATGCTCATGAAAATTCTTTGAATGATTATCATTCTACATGAATTAGTTACTTTTTTAAATTATATAAAGGTTTTCAATAGATAAAAGTAATGGACAGTAGCAAAGTTAGGCTTACTAAAAGGTTATATTAACTTACCCAGGTCAGAAAGTTTGTATCTTAAATCACAATCCTCTTTATATGCTGTTTCCTATCAAAGTTGAAGTATGTCACATGCTCACTACTAAAATTTAAATCAAAGAAACATCTCCTCCAGGTACTTATTTATTAATATTAAAGATAAACTGAAGAAGTAGTTACAGCATGTTGAAAATAGCACTAGTTCTATAATTTACAAAGTCAAAGTTGAAAAACTGACTCTACTATATGTTATATAACTTGGAAAAAATGTCTCAGCGCACATTATTAGATTTAAAAAAAGAGATTATTTGTTAGCACCTTGTACACTGAATAAATATTTTTGGAGATCCACAGACTTTGAGGTCACCAAATGCAGCTAACATTTACCATAGAGAAATTTAAAGTAAAATAGCAAAGCAACTATAATGCAAACTGACAATATTCAATTACATTTCCATGTCTTACTCAAAAAGAGGATTCCTTTAAAGTAAATCACATTTTCTGCCTCCCTGGTGGTCCAAGGGGTTGGACCTTAGCACTATCAAGTTGCTGCCAGCCAGTGACGTGAGTTCGATCCCGGGCCAGGGAGCTAACTCACATGGCACAGCAGATCTCTCCTGTCTTACTTGCTGTTCCCCTCAGGAGTGCATTTCAGTAGATCTGCCTGTTCTGCTCCCCACTCTGTCTGTGGTGAATCCCCTCATTCCGGTACTTTTGGCCTACACCCCAGTTCTTGTATGCATAAATAAAAATAAATCTTTTTTAAAAAGTGAATATTTTATGTAGAATAATTAAAGGGATTGTTCCAATCTTTTCTTCATTAACCATACCTTGAAAGCCCCAAATAAATGTTCCTTGGTTAAGATGCCCTGGTAGATGACCAAAAAAGTTTGACCAGTTATCAAAATCTACAAAGACAATGTGAGTCATTGTTCGCAGATAATCCAAATCTGGAAGTTCAACAACTTCTTCATCTAAGAAGAGAGAAACATTACCATATATTCAGTATATTAGCTAAAAACATTTTAATTGTTAACACTGAAAGATATTAGGGAACTAATATGCAAAAATGCTAATCTTGCATGTCATTCATTTCTATTTAAACCTTTTCATGAAATCCAAATCTACATAAAATTCAGCATATTCCAATCGAATTTTAAAATTCCGAATATTTTAGAAATTTGATTTTATCTTTCTACAAATATATGCCATTGATTCTGAGACTTTTTAAAGAAGTCATTTATAAAAGAAAAAAATTTTAAAGATAATATAAAGAACTAGAAGACCAAGTTTTAAGTTAAATAACCAAAAACTTGAACCACTTACACAATAAAAATTTATATCTTCTGGCCCTCCCTGGTGGCGCAGCGGGTTAAAGCCCAGCACTGAGAATCTAAAGCCGCTTCCGCATTAGTTCGATTCCCGCCTGCCCCGGAGGTGGCCACATGGCGTGGCAGACCTCTCCTGACCCGCCCGCTGCTCCCCTCAGCAGTGTACTTCGTCGATCTGCCTGTTCTGCTCCCCACTCTGTCTCTGGTGAAGCCTCTCGCCGCCCCTGAGCCTCTGGCCTGTACCCCAGTTCTGTATGCACAAATAAATAAATCTTAAAAAAAAAAAAATTTATATCTTCTAAGAATGATTTCCCCATCAAGATTTCATTCTTTTCCTAATCCAGATGGTTTACTAAGTCTTATTTATTATTAGTAACTAGTCTCTGGCTTTATAATTAAGTACCCTAGAGCAGAAAAGAATAGCCTACAATCCTACTACCATAAAGGTGCCTATATTATTTTTGAAAGGAATAACTCCACCTGGGGCTTCCCTGGTGGCGCAGGGGTTAAAACAATCACTGCAACTGCAGCACAATCATGTGCTATCAAGCAATCACCAGCCACTGCAGCACATGTTTCATTCCTGGCCAGCTGAACCACATGATCTCTTCTGTCTCTCCCGCTGTTCCCCTCAGTAATTTATTTTGGTAGATCTGCCTGTTCTGCTCCCTACTCTGTCTCTGGTGAATCCTCTCACCCTCACGCACACCTCTGGCATATACCTCAGTTCATATATTCATAAATAAATCTTAAAAAAAAAAAAACCACTTCTATTCCACCTAACAGAGACTCCTTCAAATATACTATTGCCATCCTCTCTCATTTCCAACCTCCCATTTTCTACTACCATTTCTTAAAATCTCAGTAATTGTAGATTTATTTAGATACTATAGTCATCTATCAAACAGATCATTTCAAGTTGCAAAAAGTAATGAGAAGAGGGCCCTCCCTGGTGGCGCAGCGGGTTAAAGCACAGCACAAGAAGCTTAAGCCACTTCCGCATGAGTTCGATCCCCGCCTGCCCCGGAGGAGATCCACATGGCGTGGCATACCTCTCCTGACCCGCCCGCTGCTCCCCTCAGCAGTGTACTTTGTCAATCTGCCTGTTCTGTACCCCACTCTGTGTCTGGTGAATCCTCTCACCCTCCGCATCTCTGACCTGTACCCCAGTTCCGTACGAATAAATAAAATAAATCTTTAAAAAAAAAAAAAAAGTAATGAGAAGATATAAGAAAAGTTAAAGAGAACAACAAAAAAAAGGTGTGACCACTGTTTCACTGTTTGGAGTAGAATGGGTCTGCAGCATTTCATCTAGCTATTTCTTACATAAAACCATATACCATCTCTAAAGGTGATGCTCAAGTCTACATATGGCCTAGAACATACTTACAAAAACTTGTAGTGTTCACAAAAAAAATTTGATTAATCAAAATTTCACTTGTCTTCATTAACTCCACTCTAAATGGCATATCACCAAGAGTTAATATTTATTTAAAAGGATACAAACTTAAAATTATACTATAATAAAACAAAAAAACTTTTGAACAAAATAAAAACACTCAATCTTCTAGACTCAATCTTATCACAAGGAAAAAGGAACACCTGAAGACCTAACATGGGATTCATGTCAATTTTCTCCCTGGTTCCTTGCTACCCCCTTGTAACTCCACTACTAACTGCATTTCCCCACTTTATTGATATTTTAATTGGTTATAGTAAAAGCTGTGTTTCCATAAAAATCCTCTAAAAGTATGCAAATTCTGAAATGACCTTAATATTTCCTATACTTACAGAGTGAGGCCAAAATAGAAATAAAAACTTGATTTTTTTTTCAATGAATTTAATCTAAGTAAGAAAATCTAGGTGATGATAATGTCCAGGATAATTTTCAAATCTGACTTTCAGAAAGACTATCAATTTCCTCATCTTTCAAAATACCCACTTCTTGTGTAAAAGAAACAGTTACCTAAAATACATATCTTAAAGAGTGGTTGAGTGATAATACAAATCCTTAAAAAGTATATATTATAGTAACTGACTAATGTATCATCCTATCTTATTTCTTGTTCAAAATCAAGCCATTATTAGCTTTCACAAAAAATGATTGTACAATACACCTAAATTTCTATTATTAACGTGAAATTTGCACAGTCATAGAGTCGTAAAACCATACCTATGTTCTGATAACTTGGGTCATTCTGGGATCCTTTCTCCATGTCAGAATTTTTTGGACAATTCACTGCCTGTTTCAGTTTTTTCTCTGTACGTGAGGGACTGCCAGTGAACTTGTACAGGCTTGTTTTTTCAGATCCAAACTGAGCCACACTGGGTTTCCAACGTAAGCAGTGTTTTTTATGGAAGTGCTGTTGAGCACTCTCAGGGTCATGAAATGCTTTGGTGCAGGTGCCACACTTGATTACATACTGCTGTTCCTCCTCCTCACTCTTTTGTCCTCTGTGTGCTTGATGGATATGAGCATTCATGTCAGCTACATTCTGTGCGGTTGCTGAACACAAACTGCAGCGAAACCACAGATTACCTTTATCCAGCAAGGTTTGGAGACATCGACTATAATCTTCCTTTCTGTTGACTTTACAAATGTAATTCTCACGGCAACCACAGGTTAACAGGTTACTAGTCTCCATTACTGGAAAGTCATTCTCAGTTTTAATTGAAGTTTCACACTTTTCTGACACAAACACATAATCTATGCTGTGCTGTTCCTTATAATGACTCAAAAATTCTTCTTCCACATTAAAGATGAGATCACAAAGTCCACAGAAATACTTAATTTTTATCTCATTATCATGCTCATCTTGGCAATGTCGGTACAGTGTTTCTATCTTGTGGAAAGTCTTTTTGCAATGGGCACAGCTATATCTATGAAATTGGTGGCTTGCTAAAGACTTGCAGTGCTGTTTTACACACTCTTGGGAATCAAACATATCTTCACAAATTCGGCATTGCCATTTGCCCCTGGTAGGACTGTTTACTGGAGAATGATCAATAATAGTAATAGTTGATGAGGGAGTCCTGGCAGACAAATTATTCACCATTGCTGTAGAGGATGTAGGCAGTGTGTCTTCTTCTATCTCATCTGTCTCATAAAAATATCTGTGCCCATTATGAAATTCAGTCACATGTGCCATGATAGTCTCTTTCCTTGTTAACTCCTTTTTGCATGTCCGACACCAGAAAAGAAAGTTATTTAAATGTGCCCCTCCATGAAAACGGCTCATGTGTAAGCGGATGACCCCTGAATCTTCACACACTTTTCCACAGACTACACACTTGTAACACATAGTATTTGCTGAGAAAACATGCTTTTCTACTGCATCTTCACTTAGGAAACGTTGATGGCATTCACAAAACCAAGCTTTAACAATGGACTTTTTTTTCCGGACACAAACCGTATCTTCATGGTTTTTAGTTTCTAAATTCATCTTCTTTTTTGGAATTGTGCTCCAATCTTGAGCGCTAGAATCTTGAATGGACATAGTTCTTTTAAGCGATGAAAATTTTGATTGTTGTAGCAATGGATGCAAATCAGAAGGAGGTTTGTTCCCTTCATTGCTGTGGCAATAGAGTAAAACTGATTCTTCCATTGAGTTAATGATCCGGACTTTGTGTCCTGAATTTTGCTGGTGATTTTGGGTACTGGTTTCATCCACAAAGATCTGGTTGCAATGTGGACAATAACCCTTCAATAGGAATTTCTCCGCAACCTGCGCAATGCTCTTCTCAGCTATAGCTACAGGGCCAGCATTTCGACAACGAACTCTGAATCAGATTTAAAAAATAAACTCTTTCATAAGTATTTTCTAAATATAGTATCTTTGCTTTTACTGAAGTAATTACAAAATAAACAATTTATACATAGGCAATAAAAGATGTAGCTCATTAAGATGCAGGTGACATATACTATTCTATCATCTAGAAATACCTTTTACCTTTATTTGTCTGTTTCTAACACATTTCTAAAGAGTACAGCTAGAATCAAAACATTTTTTAAAAATTAAACTTTGGAAAACCAGGAACAGTATCAAATGCATTGATACGTGATCTTATCAGAAAAGCAAATGAACTACTCCATAAGAGAACACTATGGTAAGAGCCTGATAGCCTACTATCTATTCTTTAAGAACTATTACCTTTATGTAAGGAATATTTCAAGCCCATAGTTGCTTTTATACTGAAGAACCAGGCTCAATTAAAACCATACATTATTCTAAAATTAATTGAAAATAAATCAACTTCCTTATGGAGAAAAGAAAAATGAAATACCTGTTTCAACTATCTTCCTTTTTCTACTACTAAATTGGAAAGATAACAGAACTTTAGCATCATATATATTTAACCTATTTTAAATGTGGGAAATACGGCATCTAATAGTAGTGGAAACAAATTAGAAACATAAAACCCCTATTTAGAAATCACTAAATCTTCAGAAATTAAGGTATCTCTAATTAATCTATGGGTTAAAGAAGAAATTAAGAAGGGAAAGTAAAATCTTTTTAACTGAATGAAAAGGAAAAAAACTTATCAAAACCTGAGGGCAACAGATAATATTCCATGTATCACTGGTATAATTACTGATATTAACAATCATGTTTCTGACATGTATTTTACAAGTTCATTTCCTAGTTATGCTTTTTATTTTTATTCTTAATTTTTGTTACATGAAATTTCAACTATATAATGCCAGAGGGCAAGTAGTAAGTAGATCATAATACATAACCCTCTTTCCACAGGCAGGTAAGACATGAAAAGTATGGGTCAAACAGATGCATCTACACATCCATTTGTTAATAATCATAAAAGTTAGAATTTATACAATTCAATGAATTTAAATGATACCTCAAAAAACATAGAACTTTAAAAAGTAATTAAGGAGAGTAAGGAACATCAAATGAAGAAAAAAAAGAATGGAAGTGCTGATTATTTTTACTGAAGATGACTGATGGATAAATGGATGTTCATTATACTATTTTATTGGCATTTATATAGTGAAATTTCACATAACAAAAAATTAAGAATAAAAATAAAAAGCATAACTAGGAAATGAACTTGTATGTAAAATATATGTCAGAATCATGACTGTTAGTATAAGTAATTATACCAGTGATACACGGAATAATTATACTTTGCTGCCTCAGTTTTATTGAGAATAAATACTGTACTTAAACATTTGTAAAAGCCAGAGCTCTATTTAAATAAATGCAATAATATCACTTTGTAGATAAAAAGTTTTAAAGCATTTTTTGAAGAGTAACTGAATGAAAAAGAAACCAAAAAGAGAGCACTGAAATGTAAATAGTCTATTTATTTAGACTATGATTCCAAAAAATGAAATATACAAAAACTTTATGCTATTATCAGGGAAATTTTATAACAGACTAGATATTTGGTATTAAAAAAGACTATTACTTTTTAAGGGTAGGACAATGTTATTACATTTATTTTTAAAAGAAATGTTCTTACCATTTATAGATACATGTAGAAATATTTATGGATAAAGTGACATGATATTGCAGGGGATTTGCAGAGAACAAGAACATAAATGAAAAAAATTGCCATTTGTAAATAGCTACTTTAGTTCATTATCCAGTCTCCTTAGTTTTGTATATAGTTTCCAATTGTAAAGGTTAAAAAAATAAAAAAACAGTATCTTCTTCATTATTTGGTAAATTTTGCCTTTTACTGAAATTTAATCTTTAACATGTATATGACACTTTTATTCAGGATGACTGAAAGGCAAGTTATATTTTAACATCCCTTCCATACTTACATACTAATACACAGAACTTATAAGTGTTATTTTACATTCATAGCAGTAAGAATATATTCACTTTTTCACAAAAGTTTTTTCTAACTCCTCTCATTGTTAAATTTGGTTAATTTCCTAGCAAATGTACATTCTCATTAAAAAAAAAGAAATATAGAAAAGTATTTATTCATTGACTCTTCCTGATAATGAAGAGCTTGTTAGGTGGAATTCTTTTAATTGTTAAAGATTAGAAACTGTACAAACCTGAAATGGGCAGTAAGCTCCATGTGGGAACGCAGTGTCTGGTGGCATGCCACACACTTAACTTGAAATGGAACATCTTTGCACAGGGAGATCAAAAGTTTCTTTGCAAAAGAGGGAAGTGATATTGGATGCGCTATTCCCCCATCATCTGAAAAGACAAAATAAACTATAACAGTTATTTCAATAGTGACCCAAGCTTTTTTCCCTTTGCTTTACTAACATCAATTGGAGTAAGAAGATAGCTATGTAATAAAAATCTAAAGAAAGTAATTTTTTAGCTGGAAGTGCAGAGGATGCTGAACTCATGCTCAAATTAAGTCTTAAATGCAGAAAAACACCTACATTCACAGATTATAAGAATAAAAGCATTTTGAACAAAAGTTTTCCTTCCAAATTTCTCATTATTATTTAAAGTAAATCTTACTCTTGGATATAGATAGCCAGTGAAAACCTTTAAAAAAATACAAGTCAAGAAAAATCTTCATTAATTCTCAAACTAATATAAGCATAAGTAATGTCAAAAATTATCTGAGAAGGGTTTCCCTGGTGGCCCAGGCCTTAAGTCTCAGCACTATTAAGTTATTGCCTTCCACTGCAGCATGAATTTAATCCCTAGCCAGGGAGCTGACCCACATGGCTCAGCAGACCTCTCCTGTCTTGCCCGCTGCTCCTCTCAACAGCATATTTCAGTAGATCTACCCGGGCTGCTCTTCACTTTGTCTCTGGTGAATCCTCTCATCCCCTGCACCTCTGGCCAATATCCCAGTTCTTGTATGCATAAATAAACAAAAATAAATCTTAAAAAAAAATATCTGAGAGGTGTGGTACACTGGCAAAGATTAAGTTCAGTAACTTTCGGCAGGAGAGAATATTAACATACCACCCAGTTTGAAACTCTGATGGAAATGGTTCTTCCCAGACATATGCTTCAAACATTCATCCTTGTTGCTAAAAAGAAGGAAGCAATTTGGACATGCAAAACACTGAATAATTTGAGGAAGAAGATTGTTTTTGTGTCCATCATCGGCAGCTTCCTAAAATATAAGGTAAAGCTGTATTATAGACAAGTAAAAATCAATAATCAATTTCTTAAAATTAACTTTCAAAGTTCTTATTTTTTATTTTTTGGAACATTTATATCGGATTTGGGAGCTTTATTTGCACCCAAAAAACAAAGAGTAAAATAAAATAAAACCAGAAAAAATATGGCAAAATTACTACAAATTATCTATTATATAGTTCGTATACCTGGAAAACTAAAGCAAAGGAACTGGAAAATTATTTAAATCACAATTCCAGAAGCTACCAGGGAACATAAATATACAACAGTTTGCTAGCAGAAACATACAGATTAGTGACCACTAGTGTCTATCTACTTTGTGTTTAAAAAATAAACTGGTAATTTTGAAACAGTGTAGAAAAATAAAAATTACTTTGTAGTCATAAAAATAGTTTGCTTAAGAAGAAAAATGTGATTCTACATAAAATTTATAAGAATATACCAACTATAAAAGTATATGTGTAAATAACATTATAAGCTAAGAGAAATCATTTAAAACAGGATGTCTGATAAATTAAAATAGTCAATTTCTTTTCCCACTAATTTCTGGCCACATTAAAATAAAATATATTATACAAATCTGTTTATATATTTTAAAAAAAAAAAAGAGTGGGAGCTCTTTATGCTAAGATGCCATTTTGAAAGACGATAGTAGACACATGTTAACAAGGTTGTGTAGAAATTCAAACCTGCATACACTGCTGTTGGGAAAGCAAAATTAATACAATCTGTTGGATAAGTTTAGCAATTCTTGAAAAAAAGAAAACATAAATACCATTATGACCCAACAGTTTAACTTACTAGAAAAGTGAAAACATATGTCCAGAGTTTTAAGTTTGTCCGTATTTACAACAGACAAAAGTGTTAATAACCCAAATGTTCAGCAATTGATGAACTTATAAAAAATGGCATGTATACATACAATGGGATATTTTTTGACAGTAAAAAGAAGTGAAGTACTGACACACACTGCAATATGGATAAGCCTTGAACACATTATAAGTGAAAGAATTTTGTCACTAAAATAAACATTACATGCTTCCTTTTATATTAAATGTCCAGAAAAGTCTAGCAAGGAGGATAATTCATCTTTGATGACAGAAATGCCTCTAGGAACAGAATGAGAAAAAGTGGAAGTATCTAGTGATGCACAGTAACACACAGAACCTTACAATATATCCCCTTCCACCACCCCTAGTCCCAACATCAAAAGAGAAGAAAAAGCAAGAATCAAGTGATATATCCATTAGATGGCCTTAATGGTAAACAATGCCAGATTGCTATTCAGTGACTAGAGGCCTAGCAGCTTTGGCTTCTTAGAAAATTCTGAATGTAAGGGCCCACCACGACTTACTGACTCAGAACCTGCATTCTAACAGTTTTCCCAAGTGCTGTGTGCATATTAAAAGTTTGAGAAGTACAAGTCGAGCAGAAAGAAACTGGGTATGTAAATAAAGAAAAGCAAGTCAACCAATGTAAACTGTGAATGATTTCATATTCTTTCATTAAAGAAAGTCATCTTTATGAAACAGAAGTCAAAGGTATACAATCTTCCAGTGACCTCTTTTGGCCAATTTAAAATAGGTAATTACTAATGCATACTACCAATAGTTGCCTTTGAAATCCTTGTGACAAGACACTTCAAAGAATTAAGCGCTAAGAAGCATTTGCTAAGGATATGTCAGTCCCTAAAAACTTTATACAGTATTATATTTTACCTTAAAAAGCTGGTAACTAAATATAAAAATTCTACTTTAGAGACAAAAACACTAAGTTTGCATATATTCAGTTATTTGCTAAAAATGTATAGTTAATAAAGCGACAAAGGAATCCAGATCTCTCTGACATCAAAGCCTCTTTTCCATTTTACATACTACTTCCCAAAGACTACATAAATTTGCTTCCTGGAGAGAAGGCAAGAGAGAGCAAAACTTCAAATGAGTGAGACCCAGAAAAATAGAACAAATTAGTGAAATTTGGGGAAACACAAATAAGAACCCTAATTAATTTGAAGTTTAAACTACTTTTCAGATTTACTAAAGATAAATATGCACAGCATGGAATAGGGAAACATGCCCTGAAAGAACTCTAGTACTGAAAAAGTTAGATTAGTGACCTACTAGAACACTAAAAAATTATGAAATGCAGTATTCTTGTACTCCTTTTCCTTCTCTCTTAAATTCTTCCATTTGTCGGGCCCTCTCTGGTGGCACAGCGGGTTAGAGTGCTACACTGTGAAGCTAAGCCAAGCCCACACCACTTCAGTGTGAGTTTGACCCCTGCCCCAGAGGTGACCCACATAGCGCAGCAGACCTCTCCTGTCTTGCCAGCCCTCCCCTCGGTGCTGTACTTTGTCAGTCTGCCTATTCCACTCCACACTCTGTTTCTGGTGAATCCTCTCGCCACCCCTCCACCTCTGGCCTGTACCCCATTTCTGTATGCATAAATAAAATCTTTTAAAAAAAAATCTTCCATTTGTCACAGCAACAGATGAGTCCTACTATTTCTTTCAATAAATCTTGTGGCTTCACTTTAACTTTATTCTAAATGCCAATTTAGATCAAAGTTAAATTACTACCAAAAATAACTAAAACAATCTTCTTATCTACTTCTTGAATCCACCCTAAATACTGCTGGAATTCTAGTATCACTCAATATATGTGCTTGCCCTAAGGAAAGGGGAGGGACTGGGTTCTAGTATTTCAGTCTCTAATGCTATATAGAACATTATTTTCATTGTGTCATGGTATCCCTCTTGCCAATATCCAATTTAAAATTCTAACCCATTGCAGTTGGGGTTTTGATCTGTGTTTGAGAATCCCTAATACTAAGCCTGCAGTTTATGGTTTGCCAGGTCTCACAAAATTCAGCATATACTTGTATTCACAGCTATGGTATGTAAGTGTGAAAGGATTCAGAGGGTAAAGGTACATGGTTTAAAAGTCCAGAGGACACCAGGAGTAAGACTATAAAGGTCCTCTTTTTGTAGAGTCAGAAAGGTCATGTACAATACCTCCAGCAATGAATTGAGACAACTATATTAATTCCTTCAGAAATGATTATGTGAACTATGTCTACGAAGGAAGCTTATTGGTGACTCAGTGCTGTCCTATATAAGTAGTATAGATCAAAATTTCAGACTCCCATAAAAAAAGCATATATTCAGCATAAACTACACAGTTGTATCAACCGTTTAGCTAAACACAACAGAGAAGGATAGCAACCTACTCCATCCAAATCCAAATTTCCAGGCATCATCCAAGAGCTAACACTGCATTCAAACTTTTCTGAGATTAGCAGTCTCAAAACGGTTGTGTTAACTCTTTTCTGCACACTACCTCTTCCCTATTCACCATTATGTTTAGGCTCTTCTATCTTTCCTAAAATTTGATCACTTCTACTTTCCATCTACCCAAATCGAATACATGAAAACCTCTTTCCTTCCATAATGCCTTATCAAATTATCCAAATGATTATCTTTTGCTGAGCTCCAATTTCATTGTTTTTCCATGAAGCCTTGTTCGTTCTAGAGCACATATCTCCTTTGTGTAAAAGCTATAGTTGATTTCTCCCATACTATAGAGACTAGTTAGTGTTGAACAAGAGACAGGCTCCTAAAAACCAATGACTAAGTATATAACAGAATCCACTAAGATTTTGAGAATGTTTCAAGATTCTGGAAATTGTCGCAAGCATTAGGTAGAGGGTAGGAAGGCCATCGGAAACAATCAAGATATACTCAAAAGTGTAGGCTTTTGTTCTCTGATGCAAACCTATACAGAATACAATTTATTACCTACACTGCTTCTGAAGCATAATTCCAGATACAAACAAAATCTGAAAAAACAATTTAAAAGAAAAAAACCTTGGAGATTAGCAATGTACTATTTCAAAAATTAACATTCATTTAGCAAATACATCAAATATGGATCTTACAGGTTTTTAGTTGCCAAGATATTAAAGTGGTATTGTTTAATAATAGAAAATTTTAAATTAGCTACTATATTCTATTAAATACAGAATAGAACCGTGGTGGCGCAGCGGGTTAAAGCACTGCACTAAGAAGCTAAAGCCACTTCCGCATGAGTTCGATTCCTGTCTGCCCCGGAGGTGACCACATGGCACGGCAGACCTCTCCTGGCC